TCCCTAGTGGGTTTATACCTTCTGCTTTTAATGTCTTCTTAATCTAACTTGTACCATTGGGGGTTTAATCTTGGTAAATGCGTGGGATGTATTAGATTATTTTTATTTCAGTTTTAATTTTGGGTTATTATTTGGTTGAGTTCATAGGTTTATACCGAGATTGTTTTATCTATTGTTTTTGACTTGATTTATCATTTATCAGCAGTGGAACTCTCTGCCCCAGAGTGTGGTGGAGGCTCCTTCTTTGAAAGCTTTTAAACAGAGGCTGGATGGCCATCTGTCAGGGGTGATTTGAATGCAATATTCCTGCTTCTTGGCAGAACGGGGTTGGACTGGATGGCCCAGGAGGTCTCTTCCAACTCCCTGATTCTATGATTTGTTTGATTGTAGCATTGAATGTGTGCCATTTTGTTGATTGTTGGAAACCGCCCTGAGTCACCTCAAGGAGATAAGGTGGGTGAAAAATAAATAAATATTATTATAATCATAATCATTAATATTCACCATCCAATGCCATCATTATTTGTCTTCTATTCTCTGCCGTTAGGGAGATATGCTGTGTATCCTAATGGACCCTTTGGCAAAGGTGGTGATTAAACCGTCTCAAATACGGAAATGGCTTCGCTCTAAGCAGGGATAAGTACACAGAAAGCAAGACTGATGGTCTCGTGTACCAGGGCTCTCCCAGTATAAAGTCTGAGGAACACAAGCTAGGCCAAGGCAATATGTACTTATAAGAAAGCTAAAGTCTTGAGTCTGGTTAAAATGATACAATTGCAGCAACACAGTCAGAAGAACAACGAACACAAGTCAAGGTCAAGACTCCAATTAATGCAGACAACTCAAGTACTGCAGATCCAGGTCAGGAGCAAGAAGAAACAAAAGCCAAGGTTACAGTCCAATAGTCACATGCCAAGAGTTCATTCAACTGAGTTGATAACAGCCAAGAATTAAAGTTTACAAACCAAATTCAGAGTCCCAAAGTCAAGCCAGAAAGTCAAGGATACAAACCAAGACCTGGTTCATAAATGAAACCAGAAGTGAGTCCAGAATTTAGAGTCAGACTACAAGAAAGTCCAGAAAAGGTTTACAGAGGTATATAGCTGGAGCCCAAAATTCTAACTGAGGGCAGTAGAACCAAGACATGAGTCAAAAGTATGAAGATATGACGTTATCTGCTACCAGAGAGCTACTCTTTTTAAAACCCTTTTATCCAGAGATCTCAGCTGCTGCTCATACATGGGGCCGCACTCCCCCTGAAGACGCAGGTTCGCAGCTTGGGTGTGACCCTGGACTCATAGCTGAGCCTGGAGCCCCAGGTTTCAGCGGTGACCAGGGGAGCATTTGCACAGCTCAGGCTCGTGCACCAGCTGCGCCCGTACCTTGGGAAGTCTGACTTGGCCACGGTAGTCCACGCTCTTGTCACATCCCGCCTAGACTACTGCAACGCTCTCTACGTGGGGCTGCCCTTGAAGACGGCCCGGAAGCTGCAACTAGTCCAACGCGCGGCAGCCATGATTCTAACAGGAGCGGAGCGCAGGGAGCACACACCCCCCTGTTGCACCAGCTCCACTGGCTGCCGATTTGCTACCGGGCCCAATTCAAGGTGTTGGTATTGGCCTATAAAGCCCTAAACGGTTCCGGCCCAAGATACCTATCTGACCGCATCTCGGCCTATGAACCCACCCGGACTTTGAGATCTTCCGGGGAGGCCCTGCTCTCGATCCCGCCAGCCTCTCAAGCACGGTTGGCGGGGACGAGAGATAGGGCCTTCTCGGTGGTGGCTCCTCGGCTGTGGAACGCCCTTCCTGTAGACGTTAGGCTGGCACCATCTCTCATGACATTCCGTAGAAAGTTGAAGACCTGGATGTTTGTGCAGGCGTTTGAGTAATTCAGTGCAATTGTGGTAATTTGAACATAGGAACGGAACAATGGACGACGAATTTGGATCACGTTTGGATGATGAGGCGATCGGGGGATGGGATTTGTGATAACTGTGTATTGATGATTGTTTATTAGCTATTAATGGAACTGTGTAATTTAACTGTTTTGTATATTGACTATTGCTGTTTTTATTGTCTTTGCTGTTTGGAAACTGCTGTGAGTCGCCCTCGGGCTTGAGATACAGCGGTATACAAGAATAGTAAATAAATAAATAAATAATAGAAGCCTGTAATGGGTTTTCTTGTGGAGGTGGTTTCTTGTGGAGCTCTTTCCATGTTCCATGCATTTATATGGCTTCTCCCCAGTGTGGGTCCTTTGGTCCATAGGAGTGCCACTCTGACTGAAGCTTTCTCCACATTCCATGCATTTATGTGGCTTCTCCCCAGTGTGGGTCCTTTGATGGGAACGTAGAGTGCCACTGAAGCTTTCTCCACATTCCATGCAACAACAACAATTTTTATTGATTAGCCAATTGGCCTTATCAAAAACAAACAGTGCAGACATAACATACAACAGACATCTAGTCCTCATTAAAATAAAATACAAATATACAGGTAGCCATAGGTATATGCATCAATTATCCTCGTCTCCCCTACACTGCACCCCAATCTGATCTATGTACTCTGATCCCCTTTTAGCAGCTTTAAACAAATAAAGGGCAACTTTTGTTGTCAGAATGGGGTTATAACCAGCCAACAAAAATGAAGTTTTGGCCGCTGTATCCCAACTTGTTTTATTGCAAATAAAAGGCCATAAGTATTGTTTCCTATCTTTTTCATATAGGCTGCAGTGATGTAAAGTGTGGTTCAGATTTTCGACTTCAGGGGCACCACAGATACATAGCCTTTCTTCATATGGGATATGATTGAATCTGCCGTGTCTCTCCATGGATTCAATTTGTTCAAATCTTGCCCTGGTAAAAGTGGTTCTTAGGTGTCTTGGCATGTCAGCTTTTCGGTACGGCGCCCTCTGGAAATGATGTTTAACGCGCCCTCACCACTTCAGGGATCCTGTGTTTGACAGGGTGGCTATATCTTTCTGGGCTTCAATATCTAGGATCCTTTGAGTTACTGTCCTTTTTTCAGTATCCCTATTCTGGCCTAAGGAGGCCATTTGTAATCCGCAGGTACGGAGGAATCTTATTTATTTATTTATTTATTTAAAAGTTTTGTATACCGACCTTCTCACCTTTCTTGAGGGACTCAGACCGGTTTCCAACCATAATATCACATACAGTCAATAAAACATCATAATTCATATTACAATAAAACATTAAAACAGCAATTACAATCAATAACTACAATGGTCAGTCGTCCCACTAAAATCGTTGTTCAATATCCTCCATCCATATCTCAGGGTGTTGGCTCACTCGTCGAATGCCTGTCTCCATAACCACGTCTTCACCTGCTTCCTGAATGTCAGGATAGAATTTATTTATTTATTTATTTACAGTTCTTATATTCCGCCCTTCTCACCCCGCAGGGGACTCAGGGCGGATTACAGTAAACACATATATGGCAAACATTCAATGCCAGTTTGACAAACAACATTTAACAGACACCAAGGCTATTTAACTTTTTTCTGGCCGCCAGGGGAGCTGCTGCTTTTCATCGTCCATCAACGACACCGATGAAGTTCTTCTGCATTCCACATTCCCCGGAGTCTTTTTTCTTTATGGCCTCATAAATTAGTTAAATTTAGCCTCCCACACAAGGTGGTACCTTATTTTTCTACTTGACAGATGCAACTGTCTTTCGGGTTGCAAAGGTCGACAACGGGCTACACAATGGCTGGACACCCACTCCAGCCCGGGCTGGCTTCGAACTCATGACCTTTTGGTCAGAGTGATCTTAATGCAGCTGACACTCAGCCAGCTGAGCCACAATCCCAGAAGGGGCAGTTCTGATCTCCAGTGGGAGAGAGTTCCAGAGTCGAGGGGCCACCACCGAGAAGGCCCTGTCCCTCGTCCCCACCAGACGCGCTTGCGAGGCCGGTGGGACCGAGAGCAGGGCCTCTCCAGACAATCTTAATAATCTTGATGGTTCATAGGGGAGAATACGTTCGGAGAGGTAAACAGGGTTGGAGTCATTTAGGGCTCTTGTTAATTGTTCTGACCAGGAAGCTTGGTTTTGGCCATTAGATTGTTCTAAAAAGCACAATTTTGGAAGTCTATTGTTTTCGAGGTTTCTTATTTTAGACCAGTAGTTAAAGGCCCTGATTTTAGCAAGACCTTCGATAGAATATATTTCTTGCTCTGCTCTGACTGCAGCAGCGGTGGTCTTGATGTCAACACCAAGTATCTATCTTAGGAATTTTGATAGCGCTTGTTCCAGTATTGGTAGCTTGCTTAGGCCCCAAATTTCAGCTCCATATAGTATCATGGGGACAATTTTTGCTTTGTAACCTTTGATTATCGGGGATAGGGATCCAGGATATTTATGGGATAACAATCTTGTCAATGTATTAGAACGTGCCCTAGTTTTGATCGCACAAGATTGAAAGTGTGCAAGCAATGAGCCTGTGTCCGAGTATACCAAGCCTAGATATGTAAAAGAGCTAACCTGTTCAAGAAGCCATTTGTGTCTAGAAGGGCGATTTCCGAACACCATTATTTTTGACTTGGATTTGTTTATTGTCACCTTGTTTTTGTGGGCGTAGGTGTTAAGTTTGCTCAGTAATCTTCATAATCCTATTTGTGTATTTGACATCAAAATCATGTCATCTGCGTATAAAAGAGTATTTACATGTCTGTAACCAATTTTTGGCATGTGAACATAACCGAGCTGCTGAGGGAATCTGGCAGATCATTGATATAAATGTTTAAAAGTAAAGGGGCCAATAAGCAGCCTTGTCTTACACCTTTGCAGGGATCTATTCTCTTTGTCAGGGCTCCACTGATTCCCGTTCTAACCTGAATATGGTTGTTGGAGTACAGACATTTGATCAGGAGTAGTAATCTGCGGTCTATTCCATGGGCTGTTAATTTTTGCCAGAGGATTTCTCTATTGATGCTGTCAAAAGCTACTTTTAAATCAACGAAAGCAACATATAACCTGCTCTTTCTTTTTAGATGTTTGTTAATTAGGTGATTTATTATTATTATTATTATTATTATTATTATTTCGGTTGCTTCTACCCCGCCCTTCTCACCCTGAAGGGGACTCAGGGCAGCTTACAAAAGCAAGGCACAATTCGATGCCCGCATCACATAACAGCAATAAAACAAAATAACATCAATTAACAATTAAACAACAATTCTTACATTACAACCATAAAACCAATAAAACCAATACAAACCAATTTATCCTCATTGACGGTCAGCGTTCGCTATCTCAAAGTTCCATTTCCAATTCCACAATTGTCAGTCCTGTCACTCCTATTCGTCTGGTTACAAAACAGTTGTCCATGGTAGATCTTCCGGATCTAAAGCCGGCTTGTTCTTCTGCTAAGATTTTGTTTTCATATTCCCATAGTTCTAATTTGGAGAGAAGTACTTTTGAATAAATTTTGGCCACTATATCAATGAGACTAATAAGTCTGTAATTTTTTGGATCTTTTGTGCACCCTTTTTTGTAAATAGGGATGATTATTGCGAGTTTCCAGCCTGTAGGTATATTGGCAGTGTTCCTTATATGATTACATAGACCTGCTATCAGGGGAGCCCACCAGTCAGGGTTGGATTTAAATAGTTCTGGTGGTAAGAAGTCTTCTCTGGGAGCTTTGTTGTTATTTAAGCTTTTAATTATGCTCTTTATTTCCTGGACCGTTGTTGGGGGCCAGTCTGGCAGCTTTTCAGAATGGTCTATACTAGGAGTGACAAGGTTCTTTGGAGGAGACGAAGGGGCAAACAGTTGTTGATAATAGTTCTCCCAATTAGCAGCTGGGATAGGTGCATCAAATGCATATTTCCTTTCTTTAAAAATTCCAGCTACTGAGTTCCAAAAGAGAATTGTGTTCCTCCCTTTAGCTGCAAGTTCTAACTCATTCCAAATGGATACTCTATGATTTTTCTTTTTCTCACTGACGGTTTGCTTATATTTCCTTCTCAATTCTAACATATTGTTATGTACTGTCCTAGGCTGAGAGCCCTGCGCCTTTCTCGTTAGGCTCTTAAGACTTTTCCTGATGGATTGGCATTCAGTATCAAACCAATCATCTCTATTTCTTTTTGTGCTTAACAGAGTAGCGTTAGCAGTTAAATGATTTTTAATTGGCTGCATATATTCGAGAATGCTGTATTAACTGCCATCCAGTCAGATGAAGGGGTTTGTATTGTAGCTGACCAATTTGTGAAATCTATGGAATTAAGGGACTTGTTTATAGCATCAGTATTGACCTTGTGCCACCTGATTCTTTTGTTTAATTGTACCTCAGTGTTGTTTGTAATCCACCGATCTGACTCATTAGTAATTCTAAGGTACGACGGGGCACTGAGCTTAACACTGACTGGTACATTCCATGCATTTCTATGGCATCTCCCCTGTGTGGGTCCTTTGATGTTTACGCAACGTTCCACTCTCACGGAAGCTCTTTCCACATTCCATGCATTTATATGGCTTCTCCCCTGTGTGCTTCCTTTCATGGGAACGTAGACTGCCACTGTGACTGAAGCTTTCTCCACATTCTATGCATTTATATGGCTTCTCCCCTGTGTGCTTACTTTGATGGGAACGTAGACTGACACTGTGACTGAAGCTTTCCCCACATTCCATGCATTTATATGGCTTCTCCCCTGTGTGCTTCCTTTGATGGGAACATAGAGTGTTACTGTGACTGAAGCTTTCTCCACATTCCATGCATTTATATGGCTTCTCCCCTGTGTGCTTCCTTTGATGGGAACATAGAGTGCCACTCTGACTGAAGCTTTCTCCACATTCCATGCATTTCTATGGCTTCTCCCCTGTGTGTGTCCTTTGATGGTGACGTAGAGTGCTGCTGTGAGTGAAGCTTTCTCCACATTCCATGCATTTACATGGCTTCTTCCCTGTGTGAGTCCTTTGATGGGAAGACAATTGTCCACTCTGACAGAAGCTTTTTCCACATTCCATGCATTCAAATGGTTTCTCCCCTGTGTGTGTCCTTTGATGGCGACGTAGATTGCCACTGTGAGTGAAGCTTTCTCCACATTCCATGCATTTACATGGCTTCTCCCCTGTGTGAGTTCTTTGATGGGAAGACAAATGTCCACTCACACTGAAACTCTTTCCACATTCCATGCATTTATATGGCTTCTCCCCTGTGTGCTTCCTCTGATGGGAACGTAGATTTCCACTCTGACTGAAGCTCTTTCCACATTCTATGCATTTATGTGGCTTCTCCCCTGTGTGCTTCCTTTGATGGGAACGTAGACTGCCACTGTGACTGAAGCTTTCTCCACATTCTATGCATTTATATGGCTTCTCCCCTGTGTGCTTCCTCTGATGGGAACGTAGATTTCCACTCTGACTGAAGCTCTTTCCACATTCTATGCATTTATGTGGCTTCTCCCCTGTGTGCTTCCTTTGATGGGAACGTAGACTGCCACTGTGACTGAAGCTTTCTCCACATTCTATGCATTTATATGGCTTCTCCCCTGTGTGCTTCCTCTGATGGGAACGTAGATTTCCACTCTGACTGAAGCTTTCTCCACATTCTATGCATTTATGTGGCTTCTCCCCTGTGTGGGTCCTTACATGGGAACGTAGACTGTCACTGCGATTGAAGCTGTCTCCACATTCCATGCATTTATATGGCCTCTCCCCTGTGTGGATCCTTTGATGGGAACGTAGAGTGCCACTCTGTCTGAAGCTTTCTCCACATTCCATACATTTATATGGCTTCTCCCCTGTGTGGATCCTTTGATGGGAACGTAGGTGGTCACTCCGACTGAAGCTCTTTCCACATTCCATACATTTATATGGCTTCTCCCCTGTGTGGATCCCTTGATGGGACCGTAGACTGCCACTCTCACTGAAGCTTTCTCCACATTCCATGCACTGATATGGCTTCTCCCCTGTGTGGGTCCGTTCATGTATAGTAAGATGACTTTTCCAATCAAATTGTTTTCCACACTCCATACACTGATGTAACTTCTCCCTTGTGTCCGATCTAGGATAGGGAGGTAGAGGACTTGCCATTCTTTTACATTTATAATTCAAATATTATGCCAGGGGATCACAGATATAACCACAACAGCAGTTTTTGTATTGCTGTAGCCTTCTGCTTGGTTTCCCAAGCCTCTCTTTTTACAGCAAAATCTATTTCCCCCCTTTAAGTGCACAGGTATGTAGCTTCAAATATATTTTTCTACTACTTGTTTTTTTTTCTTGTTGTCTTTGCTGTGTATCTTGAAGTCCCTTTGAACTGACAGCACTCCTCGGGCAAAGTTCTCACAAGGTGTTCTTTGCAAAACTTGTTCAGGAGTTACCTGCCAGAGAAATGAGAGGAAAATCTCTTCAGGAGTTGAACAGGGAAAGATCTCATGGAACATGAAGAGGAAGTCTAGTGCTGTAGCAAACCAAGAGGAAGAGGGAAGCTGCCCATTGCCTGGTGACACTTGGCAAACTACGAACAATCCTTCCTCAGGTACAAAGGGGAGATGCCCATTGCCTGGTGACCAATTCTTCAGGATGCTACCGTAGCTTCATATCAAATGCCTAGTTGTAGAACCAGCTTCTTATCGGAGATAACGAATTTACTATGACTAACACACTCCTATGAAGATACGGTAGCATCCTGAAGAAGGGGAAGTCTCCCGAAACGAGGCATTTCAACCCGTGGACCCTTGTGGACATTATTTTACTTTCTCAAAGACAGTTCCAGTGTTCAGCTTATGGCTTCAAAAACTTTGCAAACATTTTCTCAATAATTACCAACTGTTTTGAAAGATCAAACGGAAGAATGAAGATAAAAACTCAGTTACGAGGAAGAACAGTATCAAGAACAATATCACCTTGTGGGTGTTATTTTCTAAAGGACATTTTAAGTATTTACTCTGTGTTTCAGAAATGCTGTTTATACACACACAGAGACACAATATCTATCAGTTGCTTATCTTCTATATATATATATATATATAAATGCTCTGTGCGTAATGAGTACCTTAAAAACAAAAGAACCAATGAACGAAATCACACCAAATTTGGCAACAAAACGTCTCACAACACAAGGAGTGACCATCACTCAAAAAAATATGATGTTGTCATTTGGGAGTTGTAGTTGCTGGGATTTATAGTTCACCTACAATCAAAGAGCATTCTGAACTCCACCAACAATGGAATTGAACCAAACTTCACACACAGACCAACAGAAAACACTGTAAGGGTTTGGTGGGTATTGACCTTGAGTTTGGGAGTTGTAGTTCACCAACATCCAGAGAGCACTGTCGACTCAAACAATGATGAATCTGCACCAAACTTAGCATGAATATTCCATATGCCCAAATATGAACACAGATGGAGTTTGGGGAAAATAGACCTTAACAATTGGGAGTTGTAGTTACTGGGATTTATAGTTCACCTACAATCAAAGAGCATGCTGAACCCCACCAACGACAGAATTGGGGTAAACTTCCCACACAGAACCCCCATACTTAGGCCATCCAGTCCAACTCCCTTCACCAGGGCAAGGAAACGTAATCAAAGCCCTCCTGACAAAGAGCCATCCAGCCATAGATACAGGTAGATAGATATGATTCACACACACACAGATAGATTTGAAAGGAATCCCTAAAGAAGGACAATGATATGTTTCCTGTTCCAGATTAGGCAAACCAGACAATTTCCCCATCAACACTAACAAAGAAACAACAAAAATACTATTTACCCACAAGCATAAAGAAATTATATATATTAGAAACCCAAACTTTGTTATTACTTTATTTTCCAGATCACTAGACTGGGCCACAGCAACGCGTGGCAGGGGAGTGTGTTCCTGTTGGTTCTGCTGGACCTCTCAGCAGCCTTCCATACCGTTGACCACGGTATCCTTCTGGAACACCTTGCAGAAATGGGACTTGGAGATACTGCTCTGCAGTGGCTTCAGTCCTTCCTGAGGGTCGGTGTCAGAAGGTGTGTAAGGAATGAATGTCTGTATGCATGTAGAAGAGCAGAAGAAGCAGGCCTGAAGAAATCAACATGGAGTCCCCGCAAAGCATTATGTGGGACGGCCTTGGCAGCTGAAGCGAGGACGCAGCAAGGCATAACTGGAGGATAATGGACAATAAGATGTGCGACCGAGCATGTAAGGAGAACATGATCATACAGGAGGTACCCCATAAATCATGAGGCCAGGAGTCTTAATGTCCCGAACTTTGGACAGAACAAAGATTTGAGAGGACTTGAAGGAGAACGGGACAACTTGACTCTTGAAATGAAGAAAAATGGATTTTGGCCTATAAATGTAGGGGGCTTCTAACAATCTGCACGTCTCCTGACCCGCGGCACCGGGAGCGTCCGTTCCTCTTCGGAAAGACTGATCACCTTCTCCGGAAGAGGCCTGTGTGTGCGTGAGTATGAACGAGTGTGTGTGTGCAAGAGAGCTCTCCTTGATGTGATTCTGATATGATTCTGTAATGCTGGTATTTCAATAAATGTTACATGAATAGTGACAAAACCAAATTTGGTCTCCAAAGTGTCTCATTGATCTAGGCTACCTTACCATTCCTTATACACTCTGCACAAAAGAACAGGAACCTCTTTGGGTTCATAACAAATTGGCGTCACGAACAGGATTGCAAGTGTAAAGGAATTGAGGTTGGTAGATCCTTGGGATACTTGGGAGTGGAATTGGAGGGACGCCTCCACTCTGTAAAACACTGAAGGGCATAGGTGTTTTTTCAGGGGAATTGAAGTTGGATCCAAACCGGAAAGCGTTGAAGGACATATGGCGCTTTTTCGGACTGATTGTGGGATCTAGTGTGCAAAGTACTGAAGGAAATAGGTATTTTGCAAGTGAGATCCAACCGGAAAGTGCTTAAGGGCATATGGCACTTTTTCGGACTGATTGTGGGATCTAGTGTGCAAAGTACTGAAGGAAATAGGTATTTTGCAAGTGAGATCCAACCGGAGAGTGCTTAAGGGCATGTGGCACTTTTTCGGACTGAATTCTGGGTTTGTGTGAAGTGCTGAAGGAAATAGGTGCTTTTACAGGGAGACCCAGGCTGGAAAACGCTTAAGGGAATGTGGCGTTTCTCCAGACTGAAACTGGTTTGATTTTCAGGTTTTGAATTGAAAGTGTTGAAAATAACATTGTGTGTTTTCATTTGATTGAAGGGAAAATATCAGAAGTGTTTAGTGAACATGGCATTTTTTGGAAAGAAGAGAACCTCTCCAGATAATAAGCCAGGGAATAGGGCAAATGATGTTTCTGAGAGAGTACAGTTGTGGAGAAAATTAAAGGAGCAAGGATGGGACATGAAAAAGTTAGATGGAATCAGTACAGATTGTTTAAAACAAATGGTTATGAAGGGAGAAGAGGTTGGGAGGGTTGTTCAGTCGACGGCAACTCCCGTAGACCAAAATCAAGTAACACAAACAGCTTGTAACTCTGACAAGCCAAAATGGGCAAAAACAAAACTGCTGAAACAGGGAGACAAGCCGCCGGAGGAAACAACTTTCCAGGCATTGAGGGATGAAACAAGCAGGGCAGAAGCCAAGAGTGGGAGAGTGGAAGTTGATTCAGAAGGTGAAGAGGCATGAAAGTTATTAGGGATGCCCCGCTGCCAAGCATAAGAAAACTTTTCAGGTACGACCAGGTCAATGGCAGTATTTGGGGAAATTAACTACAAGTCCTGGGAATAGCAGAAAATATGTAAAAAGCTACAGATGAGAGAGAAGAATTCTTAAGCACAGACGAGACTGCAGATAATGGAGAGGGGACAAGCATAATTAGAACAGGAACACAGTCCCCACGGAAAGGAGGAAGGAAAAGAATTACAGAGATAATAACACAAAGACCTTTTTGCAGAGTAGTATTTTGAAAAACAAGTTTCTGACCCAAACACAGATGGGTTGGAGTTACTTTTAAAGAAACAGCTTTATATCGTGAGCAGGTAAGCTCGACAGTAGATTTCAAAGACCAATTGCAGGAGGAATGTGGGAAAAAAAAACAAAGTTTAAACATTACAAACTGTAACTAGGATGCAGGAAAATAGAGAAAAAGAAGAACAGAATAATCCCCTAAAAGACAGTCCTTATGACTGTTGTTACGATGGAATGTGCCCTGACAATCCTGACTGTATGTCACCTTTAGAGGGATTGCAGAGAAAGAGAAAGGAAAAATCCAGCAGAGAAAAAACACTGTTTAGGCAGATAAATGGGAACAAATCAATTCCATTCATAACAAAATTGGAATTGTAAGAACAAAGAGAAATAAAATCTTGGAAGTGCAAGTGCCGAGGATGAGGGAACAAAAGAGAGTCCCAGTTCTCTGAAAAGTTAATGTGCAGGAGTGGTTTAAATGGGATTAAAATTCCCATATGAAAGGGAAAAGAAGGTCCTTGGTATAGATGTTTGCTTGGAAACTTGGAAGTTTTGTTTTAAGTTTCAAAAAGGCTAAATATGTTTAGAGATTTTTATGGAACGTTAGGGAAAAATCTTTCCAATGAAGGAAAACAGCATTTTGAATTTGGAATTGTTTTTATAGGGAACCTTGGTGTCAAAAGTCAGGTAATAAGTAATGGAGGCTGTAATTTAGAGTAATATGCAGTTTTTGACCCTTGATATATAGAAAAAGAGATCTAAAATGAATTTTAAGTCTTTGTGCAGGAGGAGTCTTGGTAACTTTTAAGAAGAAAATGTGCAGGAGGAAAGGAAAGGAGAAACTGAGTTTGTTTTCTGGAAGATTTTAAAAAGAAAAGCCTACCTAAGGAGAAAATGTGGGGGCTTGTTTTATAAAATGGCAATAGGATGTTACCTAGAGAGAGTATTTTATGGTTCAATAAAAGGCAATTGGAGTTAAGATTTTGCAAATTGGTTAAAGAAAATGAAAAAGATCAGACGGATGAGTTGCATTTTGGTTTTGATAGTTTGATTAGTTTATTGGTCAGATCATTATTGGTGTTTTATTTTATTTTACTTTCGGAAGAAAGTTCTGTTTGGAAATCCAAGACATTTGAATTTCTTAGAGAATATAATAAATTGGATAAAGTTTGTAAAAGGAAACAATGAATTAGATACAGTGAGA